TTTTTTTTTCACTTGTATTTCTATCTTAAAAGTTGAACTGGAAAAAGGTTGCTTTGATTTGGCTGTAGATATTTATGCATTCTGAATGCAGCGTCGTTGAAAAGTTTTGAGTTATGACTTACGACACAACTATCCGCAGTATTCTGAAGCATAGCAGGGACAACGTTCCTGTGCTAATATTTTACATTTTTACAATACATGCATCAAAAATAAATTTCAAGCGATTTCTCTTTCTGCTGAATATGAATAAAGTTTTAAAATACTGATTCTGGAATCAATTGAATTTTGACGCACTTAGTGTTAGTACTTTTTTTTGCATTAAATTCAAACTTTTTAGATTCCTGAAACTCTTTCCAAGCTTTTAACGGATGAAAAGCTGCAAACATTGAAAATAGAAAAGACTGGTGATGATGATGATGGTTCAGATCAGTCCGTTTTTGTGATGCTTTTTGAGCTAGCCACTATCCATCCGTCTTTGGCTATTGATATGCTCAAAGGTAATGGATTTTCGGTTCCGTACATGAAGCGTAGTGCAGAAGGACTTGGCGGCTTCACACATGGTACATAGGAATTCCCAGTTTCTCGGTCATAGACCTGACAACACATTGCTCGGTCTGTGTTTACAGCTAAGGGATGAAACACAAATAAACTACATTGTAAAATGTCCTTCGGCACATGATACTTAGGACCTATTTCACACATATTGGTTTTGATAATTTTTCTCATTTCCCTCCCTGTCCTTCCTTTCATTTGGAAGGGCATAGTCTGTTAAGTCGTAGCGCGGTTCTCCATCTTTGGCAATTTTTCCGGTTGCTTCCACCAATACTGCGACTAGGCGGGTGGCCGGCAGGATGACTGTAAGCCGCTGGTCAGTCTGCTGGTGATGCTGACGTTCGTTTTATCTTCTGTTAAGATAACCAACTCGGAGGATTTCTTGATGAATTGCTGAGGCTTTAGCTGTTCTGAGATATTCTTGATGTCTGCAATCAACTCGTCTTTAAAAATCCAATTTTGTTTATCGGTGTGCTTCTTTTCTAACAATGTCTTTTAAGGTTTCTCGACTTCAAAACGTGTTTCTCGCTTCACTGTTTCATTTGCACTTGTCGAAGTGATTCGAAATCATCCAAATTTTACACGGCGAAAAATTGCATCGATGTTTTTGGTTGTTCGTGCAATCGTCAATTATGCTGATATATTTCGTGAAACGGTACCATTGCTTACGGAAATTTCACAGAGCGTTTTTGAAGGTTTGTATATTTTCTGTTCCCTTCTTTACACTTTTTCATAGTTTAATCAGCTGTCGCCTTAGTCCTAGCGCACCTGGCAACTTCTTCATGATTTTTATCACCGACCAGTCAGCCCAGGTTTTTTTTTTCTCCCATTTTGCTTACTAATTTCGTTTTTTTCCGATAAAATGTAAATTCATCTGAGTTCTTTGCTCCTCGTGTCCTTGTATGTTCATTCAGCTCATTTGTTAGCTATCGCTGTATTCTTCGTAAAATCAACCTGTTGGGAGCAAGTGATCTTGCTCTCCCCTTTCGAGAACGTTCCAGCACAACTCGGATCTGGAGC